TTTTCATGTTACCAAACTTGGGGAGGTGACATGATATTTATCTTCTTAAACAATAATTCAAAAAAGGAACCCATTTTTCAATTATAGGATGTCAAGGGAAGCCATCAAGCTGTTGATATGCTCTGTTGGAGCTTTTAGTAATCAGAAAAAATACTGTTGATTTCTAGTTTTAGGTAAATGTATCTGCTGCAAATAGTCTTTGGTTGATGTATCTATCAATAAGCAATAATGAGGAAACTATTTCTTCTGCATGCATAACCCAATTCTGACATTTAGACATGACTTTTGAAGTCATGACCTAGGTCTTGAACTCTTTGGTTGGGTTAAGAATACACATCGACCAAATGCAAGATATCTACACCTTTGCTCTGTTGAGTAACGTTTCCTAAGCCCACCACTGTAGTGTTTCATAAAAAACTAAGCCTTAGAATTTAAAAGGTACAGACAAAAATAAGGGTTTAATATTTTCTTTGCATTGTCACACATTGCATTCTTTCTTCCTAATGTCATTCTTTTTGAAATTACAAACATTTGTGGCCATCATAACAGTTTCCAGCTTGTTATATGTATATCTGAATTTACAAAATCCTGAATAACAGTAACCTCTGTTTACTACTTAGAAACATAAAAATAAAGTTTAGATTTGTTTTGCAGATAGTCACCCTCCCCTTGCCCAGATGAGCATCTTATTCAGATGCATTCTGCATTCTTATTGTCATTTCTGAGCATATACATGAGTATTTTGGGCATTTAAACCCCTGTTTGCTTGAGGCAAAAGTTTTCAAGTTCACTTTATGATTTCCTACTAAACTTGTTTTTCTTCACACTTCATAATGGTACTCTATGTAAGAAATAAAACTAAACAGAAAACCCTCTAGGCAAATAATCAGATTCATTTTGGGATTAACACTTGCACTTTTCTTGTTCTCTCAATTCCTCTTTCATTCCATTTGATGAATTGGGCCCAGATGATTTCACTCCAGTTTGTTTTTAGAATAAGGACCAGCTTTTTTTTGGTTGATTTTTCTTTGTTAAATGGCATTTAAATATATAAAATAAATATCAAAAATATAAGTCTTTGTTTTACTATGGTTGCAAATATCAAAAAATTTCTATATGTGACACGGCACCAGAGTTAAGTTAGGGTTTTTCAAAATGCTGACACGCCGAGCTCAAAAGGTTCACCATCACTGTAAGGTAACTCCTCTGTTCATGTACCATCTTGGAAGGACCATTTAACACTTTATGAATTAATGTTTTAACTAGACACACTTCTTCTTCAGAATGAACTAGTTTGAAAGAAATAGTATCCTGAAAGGGTAGTTGCATGAAAAATTTTTGTGCTGCAGCTTAGAACTCAGGATTTGCTGCTTGTTTATTTCTTGCCAAAAGAACTGTCTTTGTATCGGTGTATCGTTTGGTGTGTTACATTAAAATGCCTACTTCAAGTAAGTCCCTAACTATAGAGTAGTATACATAATGTTGTTTGAATGATGTTAAAACTAATGTTGGAAGCAAAGTAATTATTAGGTTGAGTGTGGACTTTGGATTCTGAAAGAAGGATTTCAGTACAGAGCTGTGTCAAATTTTGCTCTGTGATACTGAGCAAGTTATTTAACCTCCCTGAGCCTCTGTTTTCTTACTTGCCAACAGGGTTAATAATACTTACCTTATATTGTTAGGATGAATAAATGAGATAATATCAAAGCAGTCAGAGTGTCTGGCACATTAGCAGCTTCATAAATCACATCAGTTGTTTTTATTTTAAGGACGCATTTCAGTGTCACCTGTTCCTGTTATCAGCTTTCTAATGAAATAGAATTCAAGTCCCTCCCTGTACCTTATTTTTCAATCATTGTTCCTCTAGGCCAGTGGTTCTCAACCTTCCTAATGCCGCAACCCTTTAATACACTTCCTCATGTTGTGGTGACCCCCAACCATAAAATTATTTTTGTTGCTACTTCATAAATGTAATTTTGCTACTGTTATGAATCATAATGTAAAATATCTGATATGCAGGATGTATTTTCATTGTTACAAATTGAACATAATTAAAGCATAGTGATTAATCACAAAAACAATATATAATTATATATGTGTTTTCCGATGGTCTTAGGCGACCCCTGTGAAAGGGTCATTCGACCCCCAAAGGGGTCGCGACCCACAGGTTGAGAACCTCTGCTCTAGGCAATACTTTATAATTTAGAAATGTTGAGCCATTGAGAACACCACAGGCTTTTCACAAAAAGAGTCATGTACATTGCTTCATATTAATAAGCTAAATAAAAGTTAGATGCTAAATTATATTTGGAAACTAACAAGAGAGTGTAGAAGAAAGATATTAATAACTAAATTTTGTTTTTAAGTAATAGTTTTGTGTTTTTAGGAAGTCTGTGAAAATATACTGTTAATAATTATATTAATTATCAAATATAACTGAAGAACTCTATATGTTACAGTAAACTATACAGAAATACAAATTATACAGAAGCAAAAGAATCCATAATATATTTTAACTTTCAAATTAAATATTTTTATACTTAGACATCAATAGTCCTCTTCAACTATAATTAATTCTTGTTTTTCTTTTTATTTTCAGCATTTTATTTCTTTTGAAATACAAAGGAAATGAAAGAATATATGTAGTAACTAGGAAATATTCATTTCCTAGATTCAGTAATTATTATTTGGCATGACATTTATAGTCTGATATATTTTAAAATCAACTAAAGACATATCAGTTCATTGTGTTAGTTACACACATATTATCATCTAAAGTATTTATTTTTAATTAACAGATATTAAAATTACCTTTCTGTGTACAGTAGATGGAAAGAAGACATAATTGTTGGTAGAAACTTAGCATTTAATTTCACTGAAATACATCAGTTTTTCCAATTTATTTCTCTGGGAGGGAATTTCAGGAAGGGTATGTACTTAGAAACATTTTTAATATTTCATCTCACTCTTTAATGGTGGGAAAGAGAAACTATAGCATGTTGTTAAACATTACATTTATTTCTATAGAACTGAATGGAAACACTGGTAAAACACCTACTTAACCATTGTTATTTATGTATAATATCACAATAAAAATAAGTAAAACATTGAAAATGTGATAATGTATTTTATTTAGGCAAGGCCAAACTGTAATTGTGAAGTAAAGTTAACTGTCAAAGGGCTATTTCAAATGAGACCAGTTTATGAAAGATTGGCCTCAGAAATCTAAATGACTTGTCATTACTGCTGCTTCAGGTCAATTAATCCCTCAGTCAGAGGGTGGGAGAAAGTGACTGGAAAATTCATTCCATTTTAATTCTTGATTGTTTTTCTTCAGAGGCCCTCTTGCGTGTAGCCTATGTTCTCCAAACAGGTGCCAGAATACAATTTTTCTCAAAAATTAGAAGATGTGAATTTTTTAAGCGGTGGTAATGAGGACTTGCCATAATGGAAAAGGGACTTGTGAACACATCTGTAAAAATGGAACCATTCCATTATTAATGGGAGATTTATTGCCGAAGAAATCACTACAAAACTGTGTGGTAGAGATCGTGTTTTTATTTTAATACGAGAGCCAGGACTCGCATTAGGACATTGTTGAAGCTTGTGCAGAAAGTAAATGGCACCCAGGGGACTGTAGCATTCTGCTAGACTGAAGGGCCTTTAATAATCCCATACTCTAATAGCAGTTAAGATAGAGTGTGTGTAAGAGCTAATCTTGTCTTCTGCTTTTATAAAAACTTATGTATAGTAACCAAAAGTAGCTGTGATGTGTTAGCAGCATTGTTCTTAGTATTATAACTTTTTAAACTAAAAACTAAGTTGACCGAGCGATTTTTTTGGAGTTTATTTCATGAAAGGTAAAATAGAATACCGGTTTACAGAAAATTTAACAGCCGCAGATTACACTCAGGAGAGTGTATATCCCTGCACAGATGAGCATTCATGTAATGGTAGAAATGTAAATACCAACTTGTTGTTCTTTAACAGGTTAGAATGGTTTAAAATAATGAGTTTATTTTGTAGGATTTCATTGTTTTCATCATTATTTCAGTAATATTTTTTATATTTGACATGATTCTTAGGTTTCATTGTCCATCTCTTTAAACCAGGCCCTTTTTAAAATATAAAGTTATGATGGAATTAGTCTACAATATTTAGTAGTTTGACATAAATGATATTTGCAGTGGCCTAAAAATGTTCTTTTACTGAATTTTATATAAAAATGCTGAAAGCCTCTGTTAGGCTTCAAAAGAGACTTCCCACCACCTCCGCCCACACTCCCATGCATACCATTGCCTCATCTTTATATTTTCTATTCAGGATATTTGACCCAGAATCTTAGTTTAGCTCTGCTTAAATCTAAAACTAATATGTGTAAAATTTTTAGAACCATGTACCCAAAACAGAAGGCATATTTTATCCTTCACTTTCATTAATTGAAAAATCTTAAGACAGACCTGTTTTTTCGTACTGCACACTAGATGGCAGTTTTGTCATATTCTTCCGACTTCAAATGCTGCTCGCGTGAGTGGAACAGAAAAGGCCATCAGTGTTTAGTCTGCACTCAAAGGGTCTCTGCATGACCAATGCAGACCCCATGGACTTCCTGGAACATATGTTAGCAATTTAGCTGCAGACATTTATTTCTTTGTTTTACTGCTTGGCTCTTTGAGAAAGTGTTGGTGCCAGGTTATGGGTTGTCTGGATCATGTCAGAGGCCATGGAGATCAAGTTCATGTGACAGGCTAGACTAAGGAAGGATGAAGTTGGAGGAGGTGAGGAAACTGACCCTTACTTTCAACAGCAACAAGTCACTGCCTGTCTGTGGACTGGAGCCAAGCGCCTCGGCGTTTTAAATTTTACTCCAGCTGAACAAACAAAACACGTTGCCCATTTGGCTTTTCCATATTTCATCAGTAGTCGTTAAATCAGCGATTTCTCCATTTCTCAAAACCTGCTTATCCCTCATCTTTCTCTCTCCACGCTGACTCCTCCAGCCCTGTCCAGACGGAGTGACCTTGAGATCCTCGGCTACTGCCTGCTGCGGTGGTTCTGTGGGAAGCTGCCCTGGGAGCGGAGCCTGCAGGACCCGGTGGCTGTCCAGGCTGCGAAAACAAAGTAAAGATTTCCACGTCTCCCATCATGTACAGCAACAGGTCTGCAGGCACCCATGAAGGGGAGTTAGTATCCCAGAGGAGACTGCCATTCGTCCAACATGATAACCAAAGCACATTTCTTAAGTTTGAAAAATATTATTTAAAAAAACCAAACAGCTGACAGACATCAAATCCATTAGGGTGATGCCTATGAAATCACATGTACACGAGTTGTAATACAGAATGTAAAGCAACATAACTGTTCCTTTACATGGTGTTTTCCAAAGCTTCGATTCTAGGTGGTGGTGTTTTCAAGGAAGAGGGTTTTCAGATGAGCATTGTGCACACATATGCAGGCAGCCAAGGCTCGGTGTGACCGGTACTAACTGCGCGGAGCGACAGTCACATTGGGACAAATATGGCCTATATTTTTCAAGTGAGAGCAACATACCTCTTTCTTAATCTTGTGTCTTGGAGGGAGTATGTTTTGTTTCTGAAAGAAGAAACAGAATTTTTACATAAGGTGTTTTATCTAAAAGGTAATCCTGCAGCCATGTAAACATTTTTAATATTTCACATTCAGTTTTTCTCAGCTAGAATCTGTTAGCATGAAAATTAGGTCAGACTGAGAACAGAGTGTGTTGCTATTTTACTGTTTTCTCACTTATCAAGCCTAAGAAAAAGTCAATTGCATGTAGCGCGGAATAGCCTTTTTTTATTTTATTATATACTAAGATATGCCCAACAGTCATTATCCACAGATAGAATATCACTATCGGGAAAGGCAGCTATGTTCTAAGTAGGACATGTTACAACAGAAGTTTACAAAAGAGTTAGCTGATTCACAGAAATCAACTTTCAAATTCAGTGTGGCATCGGTTCTTAAGAGAGACAGAGGTTGGCCTGCAGATGCAGAATAATACAGATTATTGTAAATACAGGCGTACCGTCTATTATATGAAATGTTTCTCCACTTGGAATCTTGATCACTCTAGTCCCTCACCCAAAATGAACACATTTATATAAGTCAATATTAGAGCTATCTAATCAGTTGTTACTACAATGTGCAATGTGTCCATATTGACCCCCATGTAATTGACATTTTTCAGTATATAGGTCAAGTCAAAACTCAGTAATGGGTATAAATAAACAGTCCTGGCAATTTTCCACCTCAGTTTACTGAGTTTGAATATTATACTTTATTTTAAAGATTAGCTATTTAATTCTAATGACATTATATATATATTTACATACATATATACACACACACACTAGTATATATGTTTTCCTCTTATTAAGACTTACTGATGATTTTAGTCTTTTATCAATATGCATATATGGATGCAGTTATTGTGGATATCTTTAATGAATATACCTACATATGTATATTCAAATATAATAATGGGGGATTATATAAAATAATAAAATATGCTAATAAATATAAACTTTATTTACATTTTAGGGATCCTTACATATATTAATATCTTCATTTTGACTTGATTATTAGTAAAACCTATAAATCATTAAAGCTAATAGATTACGAAGTGTATAAGGTAAACTATAGACATTTTCAAACATCTTATAGTGTATAATACATAATCATAATTTATTCAACTTGCTGAGGAGGCATAACACTGAATTTTCCATAAGGGCATACTTGCATATTCAACCATACTACCATATCTCCCTTAAGCCTTTTATTTTCCTGACATAGGGTGGTATTAGATCAGTGCATTTATTGTTGCAATTCTGCCTGTGCCTGAGTTTATGAATCACACATCCATATCAGTAATTTTCATTGAATGTTTATATATTTGTGGCTGAAGCAACTTAGAGTTGTATTTGTTCAGTCTAAAACATTGGAAATGGTTAGAATAATGGGGTTTTTTTTGTTTATTTATTTTTGGATATTTCTTGTTAATCTGTTTAATCATAGGATAGCGTGAAACACTGCCCAATAGAGAACAATATACATAAGTAATTAAATAATTTGCCCCTCCCCAATAGTGAGTACTTGAGGAAAAATATCCTTAAAATTCACATATATTTTTTCTATGTATTTTTTCTTGTTTTTAAGAAAAGAATGACAGATATTGCTACTTCTACATTTTTACATGTGTAAGCTTTGAATTAAATTCTACATTATTTAGTTTCTAGGTGATTGATATAAAATTGGTCAGTGAGAATTGGGGGATCTTCCCCACCTCCACTTTCCCTCTTACTTATTACTGGTGGTGAAAAAAGGTTCTGAAAGTTAAGAATTAGTGACTCAACAACACAGAATTTGAGTTTTGTGTGCTAATCAAAACAGTGGATCACAGGATCGCAAGCAGATTCATTGTGTGTTACTCTTTTGTTTCAGTGGGTCACAGGATCATAAACAAATTCATTATGCTTTACTCTTTTGTTTCAGTCTGTTGGATGAGCTCCCTGAGTCAGTGCTTAACTGGGCCCCTTCTGGAAGCAGTTGCTGTAAGTCAAATGATAACTTCTGCCTTCTCCCATACGCTTGACAGGTCACCACATTTGTCACTCTTGTTTTACAACTTTTTAATCCACCACTCCCATTCCACAGGGTTGGGAGGAAACTCTTCGGGGTTACAGATAGGTTGCCAGAGCAGAGGCTGTTTAGATTCCTTCTGACATTAGAACACAGGAACACTGCACGGAAGTGTTTAGGCCGCTTTCTAGGCTCTGCCGACTGAGTTTTTTTTAAAATATACATATAGTATGGGAATCATGCCCAGGTTTAATACTCAGCTTCATCTAGTATTTCTAGAGTTGACTTTCTATTTTTGTGCCTCTATATATTGTTGAAAGAAGATAAAGTTGATCTATGAAAAGACAACTTTCAATCAGTAATTTTTTAAAAAAATCATTAAACCCTTGAATGCTGTTTAGACCCTGGGTTACACTCTGTCTGAACAGCCAGCAACAAAATTTTGGATTGGCAAAGGCATGTGGTGCTGGGATTTGGAGGTATATTTCATCAAACCATTTTCCCTTCTAAGTTAGTATAGACCATTTTCGGAGTTCTTTAATTTGACATTAGTAGTAGTAAAAATAAGAAGTTGATTCAGAGTTACAAAAGTGCCTGCTGTTTGCAATGCACGTGAGGCACACTGAGCACCAATTGAAGCCAGTGGCTTACATTGTCTTACAGAATAGAGCCCCCTTTTGCTGTCAGGCTTGCTTTTCCTTGGAGATGGATAAGCGGAGTGAATCTTGTTCTCTGTTTATATGGGGCAATCTCAAAGTTAGCTTTTACCTGACTTATGAAAGTGAATATGCACACTGACCCTCTAGCTAAGGTCAAACAGTGTCAATTTCCATCTGAGGGTTTTAGGGCTAAATCATCTTAAACTTACATACCTAGCCCTTCTTTGACAAGAGACCAGAGTTTTCATTTTCATAGGAAACAAAAGAGGAACAAACCAGACCTGCTCTCCCAACGCTATTTCCCAAGTCTGCAAGTCTGCCATCCTGCTTTCTGCCCTCCCTTTGCTGCTGAAGGAATGGGGAGGACGGGGGAGTATTCATTTAGGGGATGGGTTGAAACATGAAAGTGTTTTGTTTTTGTAATTGCAATGAGTAACTTGGTCCAAACGCCAATATTCCTTTTTGGCTAATACTCTTTTTAAAAAATATATTTTTTATTGATTTCAGAGAGGAAGGAAGGAGAGAGAGAGAGGGAGAGAGAGAGAGAAACATCAATGATGAGAGACAATCATTTATTGGCTGCCTTGTGCACACCCCCTACTGGGGATCCAGTTTACAATTGGCTGCCTTCTGCACACCCCCTACTGGGGATCCAGTTTACGACCCAGACATGTGCCCTGACTGGGAATTGAACAGTGACCTCCTGGTTCTTAGGTGGACACTCGACCACTGAGCCATGCCAGCTGGGCTCGACTAATATTCTTATTGACATTTTTACCGGGTCATACAGTTTGTGTTTCACTTAGTAAAAAAAGAGAGCTGGGGCAATTTCAGAAAAAAAATTTTAATTGAACATCTCATATATCTCCTTTGCCTTTCCTGTCCCTCCTGCACAAAAGGTCCATGTGCAGTTTCAGGTCAGAAAAGAAAGCCCAGATGCCCTGGGTTATATCAGATAATCTTCTGTGACACTTCTGTCACTAAGGTTAGGTTAAAAGAAGAGGTGAGTGATACAAGAACTCACGGCAGCAGTGCCAAGTTCCTCTTTTTCAGCACAAACCATTTGAGTCTATAGTATTATTTTATCAAATTCAGATTTCTGTTTCTAAAGAACAACATGTTGAACCATTAATATTCACTGAAGGTCTCTTAAGTTAGTTGATTATGCTTAGGAGAATGGGTATTGTAAGCAGGGCAATTAAACTGATTTACAAAAGGTCCATTACTGAGACATTTTATGGAATAAAACAGCCAAGAAGTTTGCAGCATGCATGCCTAACTCAGTGTAATAATAGTAGTTTCCAAAGTTTCTATCTCTTGAAATGATAGTCAGTAATGATACTTAATATTTCGCTAGCTTAAAAAGCAGATGATTCAAGGATATCATAATTTCATTCTACTCGAAGTATTTTGTTTTATAGCTCTGGAAATATGCTAGTAAATTAGAAAGTGTACTTAATATAATAAATTCAGATCTTGAAAAGCTAACATTTAAACCAGTACTACATCACAAAAGTCTGAGCTCCAGGATTATAGTACATTTGTAACAGAGGTGGGTCTTTGCTTTTTCTCCCTCTCTGACCTCTCTGGTACCTAGTTTTTTTCAAACCTCAGACCTGTGAAGGCTTTGCGGAACAGCTGCTCTCAGCTGTGGAATGCCAGGAGTCTTCCATTGTCTTCTAACAGCCATTTGTGAAAAGTGTTCAGCTCTGCTCTCTCCATTTGGGATATTTTGGTTAATAGAATTGTAAGATATACCATACGTGGCCTACCAATCTTGAAAGGCCCAAAGAACCACAGAATATTTATATTAAAATAGCAGTGAATGTAATTTAATCTTTTTCCTCCTTGATCATCCCTCCAGGAATTGGACGCCCCCAGAGGGCTCCTGCAAGCCTGAGTTATAAATATGATGGAATCCCAGCACTTGCTGGTTAATAGAAATCTGGCTGATGGAATACTAGATAACAGATTTTATATACATTAGAGAGAGGAAAAGTAGGTTGCATAATTGCCACAGTGTCCAAACAAACAAACGAACAAACAAATGAAAAACCCTGGAGCCCAGAGTTCTCATCTTAGTCACATGAGCCTGACGTCCTTGGAGAATAGCTGTGGACAGTATGGTGTGTAATGGTCACTCTCTGACTTTCGTAGAACAAAAACAGATGATGACTATGTCTTTTGGAATTTTTCCCTGTGGGCAGTGAAACCCCGTTTCTCTGTCTTTCCCGGATTGAAGGGAGCTAGGCCTGGAGGGAGGGGAAGAGAAGGCTAGGAAGTCACTCCTGCCAACCCACCACGCTTCCCAGATTTTCTTACTATGGGATGTAAACAGCCTGGTGGTAAAGTAAGAAGGACTTGTGTCTGGGTTAGTAATAAGTTTTTGAAGGGGAAAGGCTTGTAAAGAGTAGTTTGTGAACTAGTCTAAAACTCTAAACGTCACTGTAAACAAATAAAAACATGCCCACTTTTAAATAGTGTATGGTCTTATCCTTGTATATAGATTGTAGATTGAACCTTCATGAAACAAAAATGCAAAAACCACATTTGTTTTAAGGCTCTGCTATGTTTATAACTTTTGGTTACTAATTCTACTTGTTTTTAAAAGTTT